ATTATACACACACGTTTATTTTTTTTTTTTTTAATACCATAAGGGTTTCCCTTTCAAACTTTTCAAACTTACAAATGAACTTGAAAAAAAAACAAAAAAAAAAACAATTGCTTAGAATCTAAAGAAAAAATAAATTCTAAGTTTTAATTGAAGTAGCTGGCCATTGCAACAGTGAATCAATAAGGAGGAGGACATTATTACAATTTTTCATTATCATCCTATTTGTGTTTCATTAAAAAAAAAAACAACAAACAACAACAATTGGGTATCGATTTCAAGAAGTAATTGAAATTTAGTTGATCAAGGAGAGGCACAACATCACAATATTTTTTGTACCGGTGATTTCTCAATTGCAGCTTATGACAAATAGAGATTTTCTTGCTCAAATTTTTCACTGTAATGAAGTTTAAAGGAAATGTACTGTTGTCTTAATAAAGTGAGTAAAGCTGATAATTAAACCTCATCTACTGTATTATCTAATAATAGCAGAACTGCAGCTAAATACAAGGCAAAGTTTTTAGAAAAATGTTTGGCTAAATGGTTTCAAGATTTTCAGTGGATATTTTTGAGTAAAATGAGCAATTGAGATTAAATTTTTATAGGATGAGAAAAAAAGACAACAACATGAGCAAAGTTTGAAAATTAATATATTTAACAAAAATATTAATGCATGATTTTATTTTTGCTTAGTTTTTTTTCTTTCTCTATTTTAAAATTAAAGGCTATGTGCATTTCAAGGTAGATCTATTTTAACTGAATGAAAAACTAAATATTTGACACTGTATCAAATTGATGTAAGTAAGATATCCAGTCAACTTTTTCTTTCTTTTGTCCCCATTTTTAAGGCATTGGATCTTTTTATCTTCTCTGTGCATGGATTACTGTAAATTGGGACATTTGAAGTGATTTTTCTTTTGATTTTTTTATTCACTACTTTGAAATCTAAAAATGTTATATTGCCTTTTTATACAGAAAAGGTGTGTACATGGGAGGTGGGGGGGGTCAATTACACTTGACTTTTTAAAATGCTACTTATTGCAACAACATTTAACTACTGTATCATTTAAGTTTATTTTATCAGTAAAATTTTCATGAGACATTTATCCAAAATACTCACTCTTGACAAAATGAAAAAAATAATCCAGCATGTTCTCAAGTTTCTAAAACTGGGATGTTTTTTTTCTTTTTTGATCAAATATGAACTGACTTGATATACATCAAGATTCTTTTGTTTCATGCAGGATATGTTTTTGTAAAATAATTTGAATATTCGATTAGGAAAAAGAAATTCACAAATTTTACAGTAATTGTCATCAACTTTCATATTTTACAGGACAATAATCCAACAAAAGATGCTATACTAAATGTAAATTTTAAAAATGTGCAGTCCTTGATTTATAACATATCCATTATTTATTAATTTAGGAAAGAAAAAAAAACAAAGGCCAATAAACTTGGAATTTTTATAAATTATATTTTCACGATTTTTTGTAAAAAAAAAAACAAAAAAACAAAAAAAAAAATCAATTGTAATAAAATCTTTTACTACTGACATTTTTATTACTTAATGATTAAATGAATGATTTAATTCTGATAGAAGCAAACATTTGTCATGAAAAATTGATTTACTTAATCAAGTTCCTAAATGTCGATTCATTTCAGGCAGGCAAACATGGATATAAGCACAATTTGCATTCTATAAAAATAATGATCTTGACACACCATATGATGGGATGTTGAAGAAATTCTCAGACTAACCAAAAGACGATTGCTCAGATTTTAACAAGTGGGTTAAACAAAGAAATTTTCAACACACAAGTTAAATTTTCCTGATTTTAAGAAAAATTATGTTCAATTTCTTTTAATATACAAACACATCAAGATATTAATCATTGAATATTTCAATATAGGGAATATCAGTGATAATTATTTCATAAATTGGATAAAACTGATCTTAATTATTAAACCTTTATATTTATTCCAATAGGTATCTTAACATGAAATAGTTAATTGTGTAAATATAAGGGCGTATCCAGTTTACAATTAATTTCTGGCCTGAAGCAATCATCTTAACTGATTTAAGAAATGAAATCCTTCAAATGAACAAATGTTTGAAATGATTTCACATAATCTTATATTTAAAGCAAGAAATAAGACAAGGATATCAGAATACACAAGTTCTTTATTATATGTGCTTTCCTTAAAAAAAAAGAAAAAAAAAAAAAAAGAAAAAAAAAAAAGAATGCTTGTATAACATGGAGATGTGACAAAAATATAGAAATATATACCAGATCCTCCACTTACAAGAACCACCAATTTCTGAAGTGTTTTTAAGGTTAAATTAACATTATACAGCAATTACAATTTTCAATGAATAATATTAAATAAAATATACTTTTCTATTTTGTTAAAAAATTATGCATTTCTTTAAGAATGTGCATGTGTTCATATATTATACACACAAATTATATATATATATATATATATATATATATATATATATATATATATATATATATATAAGTCCATGTGCTTTTTGCATTTGTCTTTTTGTATGTGATGAAATTAAGTATTGTAATTTAAGTCATTCCATATCCAACAAGGATCAGATTGAAAAATAAATAAATCAAGATATGTAACCCAGAGTATTAGAATATGACTATATACAATTATTATAGAATTTGTTTTTCTCAAGTGCCACAAGAGGATTGCTTCTTCCTTCTCATACTTATGCTACATCCTGGTAAACAATAGTAGGCATAAGTCTGGGAAGAGTTGCCCTTTTTCATTTAATCAGAAAGGAATTTCTTTAGATTTTTTGTAACAAGTTTCAACTTCAAAATAGAATGCATCATGCAGCACGTTAAAATTGGGATCAGAATTTAGTAATTAGGTCGGTGGTTGTGCATGCCTTGTATCCAAAATTCCAGTGAACAGTGGTTGAGCCAAAGTAAAACACAGCTTTTAAAACGCTGATTTCAAAAAGGTTTTCATAGAACTAAATAAATTATGACCTGAGAAATGATATTAACAAAGATTCCTAGAGTAATTGATTGCTGTTGTTGCAAGTCAAGTTCAACATTGACAAAAAACTGCAGTCTTAACAAAATGATTAATTTAGGTTATAAAAAAAAAAAAAAAAAAAAAAAAAAAAAAAAAAAAAAAAAAACTTTTGCAATGTTTAATGATTATTATTTAAGAAAATATTTTAAAATGTAATGATTAGTGTATTTTAATATAAAATGTATCCAATATATGCAATTTTATCCCACAACGGGTCACTTTGCACCCAAGGCTGATTTGATCTATATGTACATTTGTCAAATGTCACAATTAATCTGGAGTCAGAGATCATTTGTGAATCTACTAGCATGAAAAAAAAAAATAAATAAAAAATAACGATAAAAAATGCATAAATTTTGTGTAAAATAAATGCTTTAAAATAAGATCTGTTTAAAATTAAATATACCACTATTTAAAATGAATAATACATACAGTAAGTTAAAAAAAAAAAAAAAAATGTATATAACTTAATATTAAACGAAATTATAATTTGTTAATGCAGCAGCTTGAGGACTTTAAACTATTTGAATTATAACAATTGAGATCTGATATGCAATGTTGAGATGATAATTTTTTTTTTTAATATTTTATTAAAATATTAGGTTTACAAAAGATATGTATTATAGATAGAAATTTTCACAATTATTTAAAAGTTAGTAATCTATATTAAGTTCACTTCATTTATTTTTTTTTCTCGATTAGTAGAAAGTCATTATCTCAGAACCCTCTGTACTTACATGATCACTATAAACAAATCTAACGACTGGGGTGGGGAGAAAAATGAATGTAAAGTTAAAATCTAATAGATTTTTAATTTTAAAAAAATTTAAAGAATAAAAAAAATACCCTAGTTCAAAGGAAATTTAACATTTACATCCCAAATATTAAAATCACTTTAAAATTGTCCTATTTAGCCTGTTTTGTAGATAATTTTTTAAATCCATATTTTTTAAATTAATTTTAATTACTTAAAAACAGGTTCCATTTTGTTCTTTTCTTTTTAAACCCTGAAGAAAGAAAAAAATTATTTTTCCTTCACAAGAAAAAAAAAATGCATAAAGGGAGATTATTAATCTATCTTTAAGACTTCTGTTGAAGATGGAAGATGTCCATATGCCAAAGGACATTTTGCACAGTGAACTAGCCTCTGGGAAGGGATGTGTAGGCTGCTCCCAGCTATGCTACAAAGATGTCCGAAAGTGCAATATTAAAGTTCTGGACATTAACACCAAGTACTGGAAGATGCAGCAGTTGATGGCAACAGATGGTGCAGTGTGCTCTGGAAACAACTCTGGTTGGTAGATGAAGACAAGAGAGCAAAGCAGAATGTATGACCCTATATAGGCAACCCCATGACCAGCTGTTCCAGAGCATTGATACAATTTGATGCCAGGATGTATCATGTATAGTCACCATTGATTGACGGAGGCCTAATACTACTACTACTACTACTTTAAGACATTAGTTAGACATGTTCTTTCTTCAAAGTCTAATTTGTTCGGAAGATTTATTTTATGCTTGCACAAATAAATTTTAAATGCTTCCCCAAAAGATTATTTTCTTAAAATGAATCTCCAGTTAACAATCCCAAGATAATATTCAATTGAAAATTTTAAAAGTTGTTTGTAATATAAACAAATTTAAGGTTACTCTTGATATATAAAAATAGTCTTAGATTGAACATGACACTTGCTTGATTAAATTGTTATACAAAGAGAAAAAAAAGTGCAATTGAAAAAAAATAAAATAAAATGCATATTTTCTTTTGTCAAAAGGCATGTTTTTTGTGAGTAATTTATATATATATATATATATATATATATATATATAATTACATGCACACTTTTGAGATGAGTAAGGTGACAGCAGCAAAATTGGCAGTAGTGTTTAAAAAAAAAATATAGGGGGCAGGGAATAGAATCAAAGACAACAACAAATCAAGTGATAAGTCTAGCTACCAAAGTGCCATCACACATTTGCAGTAATCTCTGAAAGCGATCTTTGAACCTAGCAATATTTTGAGATGCAACAGACATTGACACATTGGCCTGGTTCCTTTGTATATAGTGTTCATAGTCATACATATTTGGCTCTATGTAATGGTTTGTCTGTAAGTAGCCTCCATCTCGTCCCTGAACAGTGGCTACAGCAGCAGCTGCAGCAGCCATGTATTGTCTGGAAGCTGCTTCAGCATTCAGTTCAGGGACAAACACAGCCTCGTTGATCCTCTCTTTTGCATTGCAAGTGAGGGACATAGCTGGAGGAGTATATGTCATCTTGTAGGAATTGATTTCCGCTAACAGTTGCTTGAATTGGCTAGACAACTCTTCTCCAAATAACTGGCCATGTTTCTTGTGTCGATTGAACAAAAGTAAGGCACTGAAAAAGACATGAAAAAATAATATTAGAAATAAGATTGTTTTTAACAAAATTTAAATGACTCTTAATGACTTATTGTAATCAGAATTCCTTTAAAAAGTTAAACTTACATTTTTCTCTTATTTGAAAACTGTTTTTAAAGCACATTTTATTAGTATGCTTACAAATAAAATTGTAGAGACAATGAGTAATACAGAATAGCATTTCCATGCTATTTACATCACTCGGAGTGTTGTTCTCATCTTTATAACCATATTCATGATGTTTCAGTCACTGTACGCTCCAGCCTTCTTCAGGTGATATATGTTGGAATTTCGAACTGAACCCTGTAGATGATTCTAATTTCACATGCCATACCAAATCTGTGATCTATATAACATCAGGATTAGTTCAACACTACCACAGACATCTCAAGAGTAAGACCACCCACAGAGGAGAACATGATTTAGGATTGTGGGTATGCCATTCTGTGTAGCTGTGACAATAAATAAACAGAAACAAGCCACCCCACCCTTAAGATAAGAGTGCCATAAAGCCATAATACGAGGGGAAATAGAAAAATCAGGCATTGCTGACCATATATAGAGGGGGTGGGGATATCATGGCCCTCTGTGGGATGAAGTTGAAATAATAGACAGAGAACATCACTGGAAAATATGGAAGCTTAAGGAATATGCTAGGCCACAAAAATCTAAGCCAGCCAAGTATAAACATGAATATAATATGGGAATCAGTAATACAGAGAGCTAGGGAAAAAACAACAATAACAAAAACTGTAATATGAGCTCTGGTAAAAAATGATTGCTGACACATTAGGTTTATAAGTCCCAAACTCATTCCTTGATGTCCCCAAGGCCACATGGCTCAGTGGATAAAAGCATTGACTGAGTAACCCAAAAAGTGACTAGACACAAAGAGTTGTGGCCACAGCCTAGGAAACAAAAACTTGGAGAGTTCAGTTACTAAAGGGAATTATCTGATACTGAGATATCCCAAAAAACGCATGGCATGTGGAATTTGAACAATCTTCCCTCATGGACTAAATAAAGTGTCCAGTTCGAAATTCAATGTATATCACCAAATGTCAGTGCATACAACACATCCAAAATGTTGTAAATGGGGGGGGGGGGGTTAGAAAAAAAAAAAAGACAACAGTCCCAAATGATGTAAACAGTGTAAATATTTAAAATACATCTTCTCAGAAATGTAGACAAATATGGAATAGCCTGTACATTTTTATCTATTTTATAAATGAAATTTAACTTAGATGTGTTTCTGCTAAATCTTTCATCAGTATTTAAAGAGTGTATAAAACTGAACATGTTTTTCAAGTATAACAATCATCATAATTTCAAGTTTGATGAAAATTCTTGATCTGAGCTTGGAAAAATGTTTTCAGTGTATACACAAGGTTACATTAAAGCAGCTTATGTTGTGTCATTTCCACTTAACAAAAATTAGTTTACTTCAAATAAACTGAATATTTTAACTACAAGCAGAGTTTTCTCCCTTGTTCTGCAATATTTTTGTATTTACGTGCTAAGAAACTTAACTAAACAAAGACCAGTAATTTAAAAGGATTTTTTTATTAAAGAATTAACATTTTTAATGATTACTGATTTTATAACTTTATGAGGGAGTTATAGATTTATAGATGCCTCTACATATACCAGATTTCCATGGAGGTACCTAATTTAGATGTAGGTACGTCCCCACTAAAAAAAAAAAAAAAAAAAAAAAAACTAGTACTCCACAGTAACACAATACCAAAGGTTTAAAATGAAAAATCTTTCCTGAAGTCTTTATTTTTGTTTAAATTTCAATACATTAAATTTAATATTTCTAATAAGCAAAATACTTTAGTGTATTTCAAAATTAATTTAAATTGTCTGAAGTTTTTGTTTTAAAATTTGAATAAAATAAATTTGAATAAAATAAATTTGAATAAAAAAAGAAAAAAATTCATTGATTTTAGTGCCATTTTTAACCATCTTGCAAAAAAATTCTCTTCATTAAAATATCTTTCAAATATAAAATATTTCTTTTCTGAAACTTTAAGGAATATTAGCAGACTTAAAGTTTAATTGATCTGATTTGAAAGAAATATTACTTTTATTTATTTTAATATATCACAGAAATGCCTTTTTTAGCATGGAGGTAGTTGTTCATTTAAGGTGTTGACGGCTTGACAGACTGAAATTTATCTAAGTTTTTTTTTTTCTACAGTAGAAATTATTTTAGGAATATAATGTAATCTAATGTTTTGTTGATGAATTTTAGATATTTTAGCTTTAAATTTACTATACTTATTGTTCTTATTTTCTGATAATGTTGCATATGGACATCCATATTTACAAACATTGGCACAAAAAAAGTAAAAATAAAATAAAAAAAATCTAGAATTCTTTTTGAAATATGGGAGAGGTGAGGGGTTGGTGAATTGTAATAAGCTTTTCCATTTATGATTAGTAAATATAGTTTTTACCTAACCAGTAAAAATTAATATAGATCTATAAATTATAGATTATTCTATTTAAAATAAAATGAAAATTCTTGTAAAAATTTATTATTCTTCAAAAAGTTTTTTCTTAAGACAATAATGCCCATAATATATCTTATAAAACCAATTAGAAGCTTTTCTAATTAAATCATGTTTCAGTTTTATCTCATTTTTTTTATTTTACGATTCAGAGCAAAGTTTCAGTAACTTTTTTGTTTTACAAAAAATAAATAAATAAAAAATTTATGATTTAAATTCCACATTTAGTTCTTCTTTTAACTAATAGAAACATTAAGCAGTACAAAAATGAATTAAATTTCCAAATCAGTGCAAAATTCTTCAATTAATTCCAAGAGGAATTTGAAGTCAAATATCTCGAAACTACAAAAAATGAAGATAGAATCTTTTTAATTTCAGGGGACATACTTCAACCAGGATTGACAACTAATTGAAGTCATTACACATTTTAAAGATAAGACATTTTTCTAAATATAATTATTGCATCAACACTAAAAAGTCCAACTTAGTTATAGAGTATGTGGTTGTGTATACTTTTATTATTATTAATATTAGCATAGAAAAAACAGTATATGAATATGATGGTTAGTGTATTAGGTACCACTTTGTACAATTATGAAATATCATAAATATACATATCATTGCCCGATAGCAACATATTTTGAGGAGGGCATCATTTATAAAATTTCTCTAATATACAACTGAAATTTATATAAATCAATAATTTTGATTTACAAGCCCATAACACAGTCATGTTTGCTCATATCACATTCATGTTAAAATAGCGAGACTAAGCATTAAAAAGAAAAAAAAAAAATTAATTTATAAATTCTAATAATAAAACCAAAATGTTGAGAGAAAGGAAACAGTAAATTTTAAGTGAATGCAGCAAATTATCTGAAAAGGGACAAAGACATAATTGGGTAGGAACAGTGATTTACTAGGAATTTGATTTTGCAACTAAGTTGTACTGAAGAATATAAATTTAAATTAAATAGATTTCTAATCTCCCCATCAGTTCAGATTTAGTTGTAGTAAATGAATGAAAAAAAAAAAAAAAAAAAAAAAAAAAAAAAAAAGATGACATTAACAAATCCCTAAGTGTAACTTTAAGAGCAAGTTGAATAATGAATCAATATCAGGACTTTGTGGAAGAACTAAAAATGTGGTACATTATCATTATAATATAGAGTGCTTGGAAGGAAATCTTAAAAAAACTTTTGTGAAAAGATTGAAAGAATTAGAGGAAAAGTAAAAATTCAGACCACAGTATTATTGAAATTTCCTTTTACTTGATCATCACTAAAAATCCCAAAACACAAAAGTGTGAACATTCATACAATACAAAGAAAGAAAAATGCTTACATGTGATGATTTTGTGGTTTAACACTGTGCTAAAAACATAAATGGGATTCAAATTTTTTGTTTCAAAATATGTTTCTTTACTTAGAATAAAATTTATAAAAAGTTACTAGAAATGTCTGGCAAGCAAAACTGCATTTAAATGCAAATTAAAATATTACTACCACATTTCAGCAATTGTGTCCTCTGGCCTTCTTCAGATATCTGTCAATCCAGGTAAAACTTCAGGGAAGTTTGAATGGAACTCTTTATTCAATCTATGAGGGTAAATTATGCTACCAAATTCAGTAAGCAAAACCTTAATCTTCCAGCTATTATGAAGTCAGTCCCTAGGCCTGGTAGTCAAACTCAATGGAAACAGAAAAAACAACCAAGATATCGCAAGATGTGGACAATGGAAGGAGAACAATCTACCTCTCATAGATTGAATAAAGGATTCAGATCAATATGCCATCATGAAGTTTACCTTAATCAACAGACATCTGAAGAAGGGCAGAGAGTACAACAGCCAAAACACTGTGAGAGTCACAAAGGCAAGGGACATTCATCCAACTGTAAATAATGATAACTCCACACTACAAGAAATTCAGATATCATTTCCTAAAAATTGTTATTACTTTAATCTGTTGATAATTCAGCCTAGGTATTAAAAAAAAAAAAAAAAAAAAAAAAAAGAAGTGATCAATATTTTGTTTGTTTAGCTTTATATTTTCAATTGCAGACAACCTATTTTATTAATGTTGCCTCAGCTGAAATTATTTCACACTGAAATTTAAAATCTTTTGCAAGTTAATTTTGAAAGTAAAACATTGAAGTAGTTTTTACCCAACTGCTTTACTTTTTATCACACTTTTCACTTAGACAAAAATACATTTTTTAAATCTTGCTTGGGAATGAAGAAAATTACAATTTTAAAATGTTATTTTAGTTTTACATTATCATCAAGATTACTAAGACAGTGAATAAATTACAAATCAAAAGACAAATTGAATTCTTTGCCTTGCAAATATCATGGAGTATGCTGTAAGAATATCCTATAACAAGGAGAGACCTTTAAAATCCATTGACTGAACAAGAAAGGAAAAGTAATTAAGTTAGCAATCAGCAAGAGAAAATCTAGGCCCAGTTACAAGATTATTTCCACGTTGTAAAGATTAATTAAAGGCTGTAAACTCATTTCACAGGAAACAAACCCAAGTCACTGCAATACACAATTAGTTGGGGAATTGAACAAAAGCTCAGTGATTAGTACATTCAGCAGGAGGTTACTCTCGCACACACGTGTGTGTGTGTATGTATGTGTATAATATATATATACACACACAAGTAAAATAATAAAAATTAAATTGTGAACTGATAGACATAATTTAATTTTAGACTTAGAGAAAAGTCCACACAGCAAACTATCATCTATCTTTTACTGGTGATAAAAATGCACACTATCATATAATCTAGAGGCAACAGTGTTTCATGCTTAAACACAAACGTTAGGCTTGACAATTGTGTTTAAGCATGAAATAGACTGTCGCCTTTGAGTGTCAACTTTAATGTTCACTTTTGTATTCACATACACTATCCCCAATATTGAGCACTAACCCATAAATATAGTATACCATAAAACTATATTTATTATAATAACCACACACACAGAAAGTAAAAAAGAATTCAAATTATTTTTAATATGGAAAGAAAAGGAGTGCATCTCCATATTTGTAAAGCCATCAATTAAAACTGATAAATATATTTGTAAATAACGAATACTATAAAATAGGGGTTTGTGGGCAATATTAAACACATAATCTCTACACATTTACAGATATTGTGTAAATAAATAAAACGGATTCAGAATTATGATTAATATGTTAATGCAGAAAGATTATGTACCACTTTAAGTAGTGTCCTGCATTACCCACCAACATACCAAGCCATAAATTTATCAATGAAAATTCAGATTGAGATTATGATAAAAATACATAATATAAAACTGTTATATATATATATATATATATATATATTATTCCTTTTCTATCTTGAACTCTATTTTAACAGATAAAACATTTGATTTATGATTAAAATGTTAAGCTCAATTCAATCATTCCATCATTAATTGTACTTTAAAATTCTTCAGCTGGACAATTCTTTGTCATTGCATGCATACACAGTGTGTGTGTGTGTGTGTGTGTGTTTGATTTTTTTTTTTATTTATTTAAATATGAATAATGTTCAATAGTAAAATATGGATGCAATACTGAAAACATAACAGAATACAACTAACCTGATCTGACCTTGAATACGGCCAAGTTCACAGGCCTCTTTAGCAGCCAAAGTGTAACCACTGTCAAAACTGTTTTGAAGGACTTCATCTTGACCACCAGTCACACCATCACGAAAACCTTCCTGCAAAAACAATATAAGAATTTTTTGATAAGGTGACCCAGCATAGTCCAAGTTTATAATGCCCAATATGGTTGCTGTAAAGTAAAAATATTCCTTTTATTATATTTCATCTAAGTGTTTATGTATTGGGTTGGCCAAAAAGTTGTTTCTATTTATTTAGTAAATTTTCTGCTTAATAAGTGAACAAATATATATATATATATATATATATATATATATATATATATATATATATATATATATATATATATGTGTGCACATACATACATATTTGTTAGCTTAAGAAAAAAATTTATTTACATAATATTTAGGAAAATATGCCAATCTGGAAAATTTATCAATGAAAATTATTATCTTTTAGAACAGTTTTGAAAAGACTTACAAGATATACCAGACAACAGTTAAACTTTTTATTTTATTTCCAAAATTTGTTGTCTGTGCTGTCTTTATAGATCTCCTTCGCCACTATTATCACCTCAAACATTACTGAGGTCTAAGGCAGGATCAGACATGTAATTGTTAATCAGGCAAACAGAAACTCATTTGCCAAGGTTATTTTAACCTAATGAAATGATTGTGCTTTTTAAAAAGAAATAGAAAAAAAAAAAGCAACCCCTCGAAATATTTAAAGTAAACAAAATCCTCCAGGTACTTTTATTGACCTATAATCAAGTTAGAGAAACAGCTCAGCTGATATACCCAAGCAGAGTATAATCAGACTGTTTTATTACAAAATACTAGGCAGCTGGACAGCAACATAATCCCATTATCTAATATTTACCAGATTTCCTCCACCACCACATTGTGCAACAGCACACAATAATTACAAACTTCTGTCCACAGGCCTTTGTTCTCCTTTTCACTATCACTACCTCCGATAGTAATATGCAGCATGTTAAATGATGATTAAAAAGTTTTGTTTTTTTTTTCCAAATTATGAGCAAATACAGAATTATCTTACAAGTGAAATTAAACTAAAATTAATCTTCACCAATATAAATAAAATTTTTAGTATAATGTGGAATATATTATTCATTGTATCGCTGGCAACATTTCTAGGGGAAAAGAAAAGAAAAGAGAGTCTTGTTTAATAATGAGTTGACTGCCACCATATATACATACAGATCCCTTAGAGAGAAACAATACATTAAAGGAATAAGACTAAGAGAAGAGAAAAATAAAGGGAAATTTATCCATTTTAATATCTCATCTATTTTATTTATATTTTCACATGGAACAATCGAAAAGTTCATTCATCAGTAATAGGGATATATAGATTTCATATTTTTTGGTAGGATTTAAAAAATGTATTTTTATTAAAACGTTTCCATGTAACACAAGAAATCCAAGATTATAGACAGTGTTCGCAACAATCAAAAAGATAGTAACAGGGATTTGGAACAAAGACATGACACCAATGTAGCCGGCTTGAAAATATCAAACAAGAAATGAATAAATTAAATGTCAACATTCTAGGCATATGTGAAATTAGTTAGGCAAGTATTGGATTTTGTCAGTGACATACACAGGGATTACACATGCAGGCAGAGAGAAAAATGAAAGTGGTGTAAGATTAATACTAGATGTCATTAAGATTTGTGTTTGGGATACTGTGAACTCTTGGACAATTCTTTTAGTTAAACTGAAAGGGAAGCCTTTTAAAATAGCTATTATTGTCATATATATATATATACACACACACAGAGGAAGACATCAACAACTTTTACAGCTTGCTGGACAATGCCAAGGCTCAATGTAAATCACAGGAAATCATTATTATGAGAGACTTGAATGCCAAGGTCAGAAAAATAAGATGGCAAAATAGTTGGCAAGTTCAGACTAGGAACCCCAAACAAGTGCAGTAAAAGATGGGACCAATGGTGTACAACAAATGATCAAATAATTACTAACATCTGGTTTCAGGAGCACCCAAGACAGCTATAGACCTGGAGAACTTTCAAAGGAATGGGAAAAAGAATACAGAACACTTAATACAGTTCAGAAGCAAATGTAGGTCGGCTCAAGAAGAATGGCCCAATGAAAAGTGCACATAAATTGAAAGGATGAGCAATAAGGATAAAACAAGTATGTACAACAGAATAAAAAAATTAACAGGACAAAAAGGTAAGCTCATTAAAGATTGAATAAAATTAAAGGAAGGCACACTGATAATAGTAAAAGAAAAAGAATACTCCAAAGATAGAGCAAATACATTAGAGAACTATTTCATGATAGAGAGAAACAGGCAACACACAAAAATATGGAAGCATCAGAAATATTAAAATCTCAAGCTCCATCAGCTTGAAACAAGATGGACAGGAACAAAGCAGCAAAATCAGATGGGATCGTAACCCAAATGGATTCAGCCTAAGATGATTTTAGCATCGACAAGACTACAAAAATAATAAACGAAATGTACGACAGTGGCAACATACTGGAGAACCTGTCAATCCATATTCATAGCATTATCAAAGAAACCAGGTGCAAATGAATTTGAGCTCCATCAGAAAATCAGCTTAATGAGCCACATAACCAAGCTAATAATCTGAATCCTGATGAATAGAATGTGAATCAGAATTAGACCAAAAATAGGACAAGAATGGTGCAGCTTTGTGAAGGACACTTGAACAAGAATTGAAATATTTATGATTAGAATGATATCAGACATAGCAATATAAATGTAGAAGGATGTGCATTTGTGTTTTATAGATTATACAAAAGCATTTGTCAAGGTAAAACACAAGGATCTATTTGAACTGAACAGGAAAGCTAGAACTAATTAGAAATGAGGTTAGCATAATCCACTCCTTTTATAAATCTGCCATCTCCTGCATCTTTGCAACAGGAGGAAAAAAAAAAAAAAAAAAAAGAAAAAAAAGACAAGCATACTGTTCAGCTATTGTTTTCCTATCCTATTAGAATATTTTTCAATGATCATTTGAATTCAAGTGGTTGATATAGCAACCAAAGTTATGAAAGTTTCATTTATAAACACTATAATGGCTCAATATCTGAGGGACTGTGGGTTTGTAAATATACATGCTACCCCTTCACCAGGGCAGAATGGAAAATTCACAGGATTTACTAAATAGCATTTCAACCCCAAATGAAATCCCAGGACACAAAAACATTTAATTCATAACTCTGGAATTAAATCTACTCAAGTATTTTACTATGTTGTGAGAAGGGGACAATTAGTGACAGAAACAAATCAAGACACTTATTTGCTCCTGACAAAACTAAATACTTTTTTCAGAAGAAATTAGTGATAACTGCAGAAA